AACCAAATTTGTGCTATTCTCACAGACACTGCACTAGGTCCATAAACATCGCAAATTTTTTTCGTGGCTTGCGTTGCATTTTTACCTTTTTTTTAGTAAAATTTTAAAATGTATCGAATTTCGTCATTAGATTACTTATCTTCACAGTACGAAAAATAAATAAATTCACACATTTTCCTAATTTGAATTTGGAATATTTTCTTTAAAATTTAAACTTTTAATAATATCAAAACTTGCCAGATGCAAATACAACAAGTTCCTACATACTGCAATGCGAAAAGACTTTCTCCCCATCCTTGTATAAATATAAAAACCTATTTATTATGTTGGTACAGACCGCCTTATCCGACCGTGACCGGGCAAGCAAAGCTGCCGTTGCCCGAAACATATCATGTCAGATCCCTCGTATTTACTCTTGGTGATTCTCAAGCACCAGTCACCATCCTCGTCGAACTCGTCGATTACGACGAAGAGTTCGACGAGCGAACTAATCCATAGACAAAGCCCACAGAGTTTCTCGCCGAATCTTCTCAGTGGGTCGCAATTCCGATCCGGTAGTAGATTCGACGAAGAAATGCTCTTGCAAACTCTCTCAGGTTGAGCCCGTGAGCTCACCTACCCGTCCGGACTTAGCTCGAATAGCTTCTTAGGCTACCAGCAAATAGGCAGGGAAAAAAAGAAGTGTGATGGAAAGCCACCGATGGTACTTGCCCATGTTTCCTCAAATTTAAGATATGTGTGTGAATAATAACTGGATTTTATATCGCAGACTATTGCAGTGAATAATGTAAATCGATTAAGCTTAAAGAAGTTTCGGCGTCATACTTACAAGAACTTTCACATTCTGGGAAACAACAACTTTTTAAAAAAGCCGATTCTGTTCTAAGGCCAACTGCATATTTCACATGATGGTTACAATAATTTTCTTACATTTGAATTCTAATTTTTTTTAGACATCTACGGGTCGTATTTTGCGGTATGATTAATATTTTGATATTTAAAATTTTTTTATAAAAAAACTGCCAAGTTAAGTGGTAATACGCAGACGACGTAAACAACGCTAGGGCTGCCTATGTTGGGTAAGATGTCGTGCTCTATGGTAACGTAACGTATGGTAACGTATGGTAGCGTACGATACGTAGAAAATCTGACCCTTAACTGCTTGAGTGGCACAACCGTGTGACAGTGGCGGTGCCTGCGTCTTGTGTGTAACAAGCCTGTAGCAAGCTCAAGTGGCTAGTCGCGGACACTGCTTTAGCGAGTGGCCGCCACCGGCTACAAGTGTGCGGCGCGTTTGTATTAAATATATGAAAAAATCTGTTAAGTCGGACAAAACAGCATTCCAACAGGGACTACAGGGTAGCGTCGACGGCGAGAAAAAGAGAGCAGAAGAGCTGAAGAAGACAGCTCTCACGTGCTGGGGCTGGGGGCCGACTCATCTTCACCTACTCAAGGATACTATGACAACCAAAATTATATAATTGAGGAGGAATAGTTAAGGAGGTGCCAATACAATACTATCGACGACTATACTAGCAATCATATGGTGTTTTTTTTATTGTTATTGCCTTTGTAGGCAGACGAGCATACGGCCCACCTGATGGTAAGTGGTCACCGTCGCTCATGGACGTCAGTAATGCCAGGGGCAGAGCCAAGCCGCTGCCTACAAATCATCATCATCGTACATCACAAATACAAATCATTATCATACATACAAATCATTATCATCGTACATCACAAATTTTACCATATTCACCTCCACTCTTATTACTAACGAAACCAGCAGAAACATCATACCTGTTTCATTAGGCAGAGTGCCTAAACCAGGGCAGAGGGGGTTGCCTCGAGACCCGACGAGTTAAGTTGCTGTTGCTGGGCATTAGTGGCTGTGGTATGTGCCCCTTTTGCGCCTAAGGCGTCGAAATATCTAGTAGACTCTGGGAAAGACAAATCTGAAGTTACTGAGAATCAATCTATTTCTAAGAGACTTAGAAAACTCAAACATGCATTTAAAACAGAAGACAAAGTTAGTCAATCCAGGCGCTTAGTAACAGAAATCGACAATTATTTCAGTGCGTCACATATTTCATGGTATAGCCATAATGAAAACTTAAATAAAAACACTCGTGCATAGCATATAACTAGTGTGCCTTGCTGTTCTGACCTCCACGAGTGACTCTCCGGTCCACTGTGAGTGGTAGGTAGGTTCGTATGTCTACAGTGTCAATGAAAAAATAAATTCTATTTATCGAATAAGTTCTGTTATTCGAGTTATTAATAGGGACCATTTAGAGAGGGGTTTGATGCTTCTTCAATCAGTATACCATACACATCTATCAACAGGTAGGGCGGTCTTTATTACCATCTTATTTTTGCCATAGAACAGCCTTACGTGCACTTTCCGATGAATACCTACCTGCAGCTGTAATACAATGTAATTAAGACTTCGCCCTATGGGTAGCAGCCTCCATGTTGTCTATGGGTTCTGGTAACCACTTAATACCAGATGGGCCGTGAGATCATTCATCTATCAAAAATGTTAGGTATTATCGTATGGCTTTGATTCTTAATTTAACTCAGGTGAAACCGACACCACAGCTAGTAAATATTTAAATACGATAATGAAATTGAAGAATTGAAATTAGTTTAGACTAATATCAAAATCTATATTAATTATGATGTAGGTATCTAGTAATTACTGTATGGTACCATGCCTAACAAACTTATTCTAACAAAAAGCGATCTGGAATTGCACATTTTTTAGTTCTATTCTAATTAGATAAAGGGAACGTAGCCCATACAGCCAAGATAATATTTTCAAGTCGAAGTCATGTTTTTGACGGCAAGAAGTGAAATAAAACAGACTTTTGATCGTTTGAGTCAAAATAGCGAGAATTTACAGAGGTCTTAATAGACTTCAAAGATAGTGTCCTGCAATTGTGTTACATTTCTCTTAATTGTTTTCGTGGCCTAAAGAATAATACGTTCGGTGCATTCGTATTTTGCGATGCATCGGTGTTCGAATCCCGCTGGCGGGTACCAATTTTTTTAATGAAATCTTACTTAACAAATGTTCACGATTGACTTCCACGGTGAAGGAATAACATCGTGTAATAAAAATCAAACCCGCAAAATTATAATTTGCGTAATTACTGGTGGACTTCTTGTCAGTCCGTACGTGTAGGTACCACCACCATGCCTATTTCTGCCGTGAAGCAGTAATGCGTTTCGGTTTGAAGGGTGGAGCAGCCGTTGTAACAATACCGAGACCTTAGAACTTATACCTCAAGGTAGGTGGCGGAATTTACGTTGTAGATATCTATGGGCCCCGGTAACCACTTAACAATAAGCATTAAAAAAAAATGTGTTTTTCTTTATAGTGAAAGAGTAAGTACATTTGGTAGTTTTTAGCAAATTAACTTGGACTTGGTGGACAGGACTTGTGTTCGGCAGATGAGTTCACCGGCAATGTATTGACAGTGGTATGGAGGATTCCTGACGACGATATGCTGAAGTTACGTATTATTTTGTTTACAGTATTTAGTGTATGGTATACATTGAACTATTTTTCGTCTGTTGAAACAGGATTAAGACTATTCTTCTATTTCAATAGCTTATACAACATTTTCGTATGGAGGAGATTTTATTTTTTATTGCCTTTGTCGGTAGACGGGCATACAGCCCACCTGATGGAGAGTGGTTACCGACATTCATGGACGTCGGCAATGGCAGGGGTACAGCCAGGGCGCTGCCTATCGCTAAGTATTCTACATAAGCCTCGTTTGAAGAAGAACATGTCATAGCGCTCGGGAAACACTAGAGGGGAGCTCACTCTAAAGCTGTTTGGTCCGTGGCATAAAATATCTCTGAAAACTCACTGTAGATTAACGTAGTCATTTTAGGTAGTATGGATGAACTCTAGTCTGGTGGCAGGCGGTAGGATGGTAAAAACGATTTGATGGTATCACTTCAAGCAAACGTAGACTTTTTCTATTTAAAGTTTTAACTTAACTTCATTTTTAAAGTATTTTCTATATTGATAATAATTACGTAGTATACGAATACGATACTTAAAATACGAAATCCCCTTCCTATTATGAGAATGGGATGTACATAATTACGTATTTCAAGATAGCACAAGCTTTCTTAAGTGTCCTTTTTACACTATACATTCAGGATTTTCTGATAGACAAAGATTAGAGGAAAAGGCAATATGCTCAACAACTTAAATGTAAAATAGAATAAGATAATTATATGAATATGCAGAAAATGCATATTCATATAACTCTCTCGCTCTCGATTCGACTGAAAAGAATTCTGCCTCTGAATCATTTGCGATAAATGATAAATGATTAATAGATAAAATTCAAGAAGCAATTTTTGAACCATAGTTCTTTCAGAATCTACTTACGCAAAACATAAAATGAAATGCACACATATCAAAATATTCAAGCTGATATCGATTCCTTTCTTGATAGTCCACATTGATTTGAAGGTGGTGATATTTAACCCAACTACGCAAGACAGTATTATGGACTGCATCTCCTTTGCCTATTAAAGCAGACATTTTTTTAAAATCTATGGGTTTCTATTATGTCATTTTAGAAACAAGCCACAAAATCTAAAAAAGGTTCTAATTATGGGTCCAATAACACAAAATAAAATTTGAATGTAAAACACGGAAATGAATTCAGATTATACGAATGTGAATGAATGCCTATGTTTCAAAATCTTTTACTGCCACCTAGTGACTAATTATGAAATTCTGCATCTTACTTACTTACTTAATATTCTATTCGAAATTAATTTCATATTGACGTTGAAAGTATTCCTTATAATTAATCATGTGCTAAAAATGTAATTGTTTATTGAATTTTTAGATTTAACGTCAACGGGATGTTTTCGAATTGCGTGAAATGAAACGTGTATCCGTTATTTGTGGTTGTTCATCTAAACTAAACGCTGTGTATCTATGTGCATATTTTGTGTCACTACAGGATTGTTTACTAATTCTCGTTCATTACATTGTAAATCTGCAGTTCTTTATGTGTTTATTGAACGTTTTGAAGAAAAAAAGTGTCTGGTAGTGTATATTTGTAACTGTTAGTAGATAACTTTAAATGCGGTGCTCTGTTATGATTTCATGACTAAACGTGTTTACGTGAGATTTTCAGTGGAAAAGTGTTGTGAATGTGTGATTTTACTATTCATATACTGCAAGGAATGACAATTTCTACTAAATATTTATTTGGTATGTAAAGATTTGGTATAAAGATTATTCTTGTCTAGGGGAAATGGGGAAAGTAACACAACCAGCAGAAGGAAGTTGTCAAACAGTACGTTGCAAGAATTACGTTTTTGTTAAAACGAATAGAACATTGGTAAATAGTAGTTTAAAATTAAATTATTATTTTGTTTTAGTCTGATAAAAGTGAATTCTGTTGCAGAATTTTTAGTAGTTTTATAATTTCCATCAGCTTGTAAACATAACCTACAAAAAAAAAGAGTTTTTTTGAGGCTCATAGTCTAGTAATAAGCACGATAATATAGTGTATATCAATGCAATATTTATCTCTTTATTCGCACGATTGTATTTATAAATTTAAGTAAATGTCTGGGATTTTTGTAACTAGTTTCTGTTGTAAATGTCATTTACATTTAGACTGATGTTTATTTCACCTCTATATGATCTTAACTGGATATCACACTTCTTACATCGGTTAGTTTAATGGAAAATGGAAATCATTTGAAAGGCAGTAGTTAATTTTAAATAAATTTGTTATATTTTTCACATCTCCATAAAGTATATCTTAAAATAAGGAACCTCAAGAGAGGATTCTGTTCTACTGTTTTTTTAATGTTTTTGAAACATATATAGATAAGTAAATGACCTCACAGCTCAAATTGTGTTTAGTAGTTCTGAATCCCATAGAAATTATAATGTAAAGCATGCCAGCCGCTCTGGGATTGACATGTAATTTTTGATATTAATCATCTTTGCAACATTTTTTTTTTTTTTTTATCAGTTACATTATCTGTCTTTTAAAGTAAGATAAAATTATGTATTAATTTTGTTACTAGTAGTCAAAACAAACATATAAACTAAAAAAAACTGAAACTAAACTATGCTCTTTTGACAGTATTTATGAGAATACTGGTGATACCAAATGATTCCGCATATTAACTCAATTTCGAATATTTTTGGAAATTGTACACTTTTATTGTGAAAAGACGATATGTGAAAATATCAACCTTGAAAGAATATAAATTAATATGAAGATAAAAAAATCAAGTCCCTTAGCTTTGTTATCAAGTTTCTTAACAATTACACTGTAAATCACTTGTACTGACCTGTAGGTTCTACTGACTGAATCTTGCTGAAGGAGGAGTCTAAATTGAAAAAAAAACAGCTCATTTAATTAATGGCTCTTTATGCAATTTATCTGATTTGCTTTTTATTGTATCCTGTTATTTCTTTTTTTTTATTAGGCATTAGTCTCTGTGATTTGAGCTTGAGATATAACGAAATATAAAATTAGCTATGAATGAGCGCAGTGCCTACTAGGTAGTACTTAGTAGTGTTGCATTTGGGTAAATCAGAAGTATATTAAAATTAGTTTGGTTATTGTGAAGAGTCTGTTTTTGACTTTTTGGCGGGAATGTGAGGAGTGAAGTTGTGTGATTTGTTTTATTTTGTTCATTCAGTGTTTCTTCATGTTTAAATGTGTAATAATGGTGGTTTATTAAGAATTGTGCATATTTGCACTGACGAATATTTAATTTCAGTGTAGGAAGTTTTCATAGCTTTGGTCCTCAAAACTGAACCATTAAAGTGTCACATTGTTGTGCTTCTTTCTCTCTCCGACACTTTTCTCACTGTTTTTCTCAATAACAGTTAGAGATATCGAGTTGAAAATACTAAAAACCAATGATAATAAACAGGGACAAACGCCACCTCAATGAATACCCTAGTTCTTACAAAATATTTATTATTATTTCCAAATATTAACTTATTTGATGTTTTTATTTAATTAAAGTAATTATTGCTTGTTACTGATTAGCTTTATAAATAGTTATATATGGGTAATGAATGGACTAATGTAGACTTTGTTTTGCAATTTATATGTCTATACATTTGTATCAAAGGAGATTTTTTTATGCAGATAATGTATGCAGCCGATTTGACGAGAAGTGATTACTACTACACGTAAACGTATCCATCTCCATAATAGTGATATTGTATGTTTTCAAATTAATTTGCATTATGTTTGAATGTTCACTCTGGGTTTGCAGAGTCTACATTTTTAGACTTCGAATAATTATAGACAAAATTTGAACCTTGGGTAAATAGTAAAAGGTAAAGTAAAAGGAAATCTAAAAATCGATATAAAATACTAACCAATGGTTCCGAAATAAAAAATATATTTGTAGATTCAATTGCAAAGAAACCTAATTGAGAATTTGGTGTACTTTGGAATCTGAAGTTTTTAATGTGAATTTTTTACTTTTTTGTTATTGTACATAGTATACTTTTCGAAATTTTGTTCTGAGCCTCACACGTTCTACTGACTGGGTAAGTCAGTTATTGTGGCGACGACGACTCCCGGTTTGGAGTCAAGAAGAGTGACAAAATAATTTGTGTATTTCAGAGCTAATTCTTAAATTTTACTTATCTATTACAAGCTATAGTAAGACACCACTTAATGCGGTTTCAATTAGCGCTGTTTCTGTTCAATGCTCTTTCAATTTAATTGTGGGATTCTGCGTAATTGCATGCAGCATTAGTCTTCTAAATTTTTTTCTCTACTTGTTCGCTGGTAGCTTAAGGGACTATTCTAGCTACGCCTGGATGAGTAGGTGAGCTCAGGGGTCAACCTGAGAGAATTTGCCAACACTAGCCCTAGCAAGAGCAGTGTTTCGCAGAATCTACCACCAGACCAGTATCGCAACCCGCTCAGAAGATAGGCGAAGATAGTAACCACTCATCATTAGGTGGGCCGTATGCTCATCTGCCTATAAGGGGAATAAAAAAAATCCGCCGAGAAACTCAGTGGGCTGTCTCTATGGGAGCATTCTCAATATTCGAAGAGGATTAGTTAGAAAGATAGATTAGATTGTGTTTCTTCTTTCTTGCGTATTTACAAACGTATTTTTTTCGTTTCGAATATTTCTTGACGTTATTGTAAGTATAAATTTATGTAATATAACGATTGATAGTAACAATTATTATAATTTTTAGTTTTTATCATGGGTAATATAGTAAAAATACGAAAAGAAAATAATAAGAAAAAGGATTGCCCTAGAAACTAAAATGCAAATGCTTAGAAGATTAGATACTGGTGAACGTCAATCTCAAATTGGTGCTGCATTGAATTTGGCAACCTCAACGATAAGGAGTATTCTTAAGAATAAAGAAAAAATATTGTTATCGGCAACTGCAAGTACGACAAGCTCTGCAACTAGAATTACCCGCTCTAGAAATAATACAATAGAGGAAATGGAAAAACTACTTTCTATATGGATAGATGACGAAATTGAACGCAATATGCCGTTAATCCAATCTATTATAATGGAAAAAGCTAGAAGTGTTTTTAATTACATTCAGGTTGAGGCAAGTGACCCAAGTGAAAATTTCGTTGCAAATCAAGGTTTAATAGATCTAAACATAGAAATAATCTTAAAAAGGAAAACACAAATTACATTGCAAATTAAATTAATACTAAATTAATTACAAATTACATTACAATGCAGAAGAGAATGAATGACCTGAAATTAATATAATGACTTACAATTGCTCCCAACACCTTGCAGATCGTCAAGTCCCACATACTCCGAGCGTCCTTTAGGCGCGGGTATCTCGTAAGAGGTTTGGAACCCAGCCCGAAAAAAAAAGTGGCACAAGTGCCACTACTGCAGTGGCTGCAACCAGGATACGGCGGAGCACACGCTCGTGTACTGCCCCGCTTTCGCGGAGCAGCGCCGCGTCCTCGTTGCAAAAATAGGACTGGACTTGTCGCTTCCAACCGCCGTGGCTACGATGCTCGGCAGCGACGAGTCCTGGCAGGCGATGCTCGACTTCTGCGAGATGGTGGACTCGCAGAAGTCGAGCATCGCGGAGGCGGCGGAACGGGAGAGGGAGAGCTCTTTTTTCCTCTCGGCGCCGTGCCGCCGCCGCCGAGCCAGGGGTCGGAGGAGGGCGTTTGTCCGGTTCCGACCTCTGTGAGGACTATTGCCTCGACGACTAGTCGGGGAGTCGTTTAGTGCAGTAGGGCCCTAAAATTCCTTGGGCCCATGGTCTGCTCAATACCTGCAGATCGTCAAGTCCCACATACCTCACGCGTCCCGTAGGTGCGTGGACCTCGTATGAGGTTCGGCCCCGGCCCGAAAAAAAAGTGACACATGTGAAACTTTCGTTACAAGCAGAGGATGGTTTAGTAGATTTAAACATAGAAATAATCTAAATAACTTACATATTAGAATTACGGATTAGATCGTTAAAAAAAAATAAAAAAAAATTGCCTAATGTTTTCTGTGGATTCTAACTTTCAGCCATTATTCCACACTAACTTGAACCATAACTTGCATAGCGGAACACTGTTGAGAAGTCCTATTGATGGTACAACCTTCCTTGTTGTATGATGGTTATATGTTCTTCGATAGATGAACTGGAATGAATAATTACTTTTTTTTTCGACATAGAAAAACAATACTAATAGGGAGTAAAGGAAAAAATAGTAGAAAGGCACTGCTTATTTCTTTAAGAAATCTTCCCTAACAGACCTGTGAGACGATTCTGGAAGTGATAATAAAAACTGATGAGTGTGTGTAGCAGAGTAGACATAGTCTCTTAAATATGTTAATCAAAGTACAGTAACAGCATTGCCAACATTCATAAAATGAAAACATGCTATTTTTAAGTAGACCTTCACAGGCCGTTTTAAATCGTCTCAACCAAGTTTACCAAATAAACACACACACCCAAGGCAAACATTTTTTGTTACACTTTAATACAAACTTAAGTGAAGAGAATAAAAAACAATTAATGAGGTCGATGGGAAATATTCCTGGTCTTTTTATTTAAAAACAAGAACTGCTTTACAAACTTGAAAGTCAGCCGGCACCGATTACACGTTGACTGAACGGAGAAACCAAAAAACACAAAAACACAAAAAAAAACATTAATTGCCCTTGTAGGCTGCCGAGCATACGGCCCACTTTATGATGAGTGGTTACCGTCGCCCATGGACTTCAGCAATACCTGGGGCAGAGCTCAGCCGCTGCTTACCCAGCGCTTACATCTGCCGAGTACGTATTTCATTAGAAAATTTGGCACCGGCCTATGGGAATCAAACACTGACATCATATCGTTCGACACAAGCACGCCGGGAGTCTTATCCTTGAGGCAATGACGACCTCAAATGAATATGTCATTTTCTATATGACTATCTACTTATCATGCTATTATCAACGTGAATAGTATAAAAATACTAAATACTAAGCATTTTGTTATATAATTATGAATAAATAATACTTACGACTTAAATTTGTGTTTTATTTTTAACTATATCATTATTCTTCACAGATTCTAGTGCCACATACTAATTATACCATGCTTCCAGTTTTAGGTGCGTTGGCCAGTAACACTAAAGGGGACCTACATTTCATACAAACGAAAAGCGGCCATTTACAGTTAATATATGAACCGTATATTTTCGTGACGGACAGTGTTCGGAGTGGACGAACATTCTGGAGATGCATGGAGTACGGAAAACGGTGTCGAGCCAGGATCACGTCTAAAAATAATGTTTTACGAATAACTAATCCTGTACACAATCATTTGGAAGATCATATGCAGAAAATAGCTAGGAAATATGAATTGGGAGAAGTTGTAACGTGCCCATCTGTTTGACATGTGAAACTGTAGATACCTACCAGTATTTTGTCTTTTAATTTCGTGAGTGTTGAGGCAAAATACATACAAACAATTCTTTTTGTATAAATCACTTACGTATCTGAATTGCGATATAAATAATTTTGCAAATGATGAATGGGAATTAGAGACATGTAGGCTGATTTTTTAATATGAGATAAAAGTAAGGGTGGTGTTAGGGCATAAAGTTAGCCCGTACGGGTAGGTATCATCCTGCTTAGTTCTGCTTTGAAGCAGTCGTGCTCTCTGGTTTGAAGCTTGAGACCACTGTTACCACCAATGAGACTATGACCTCATATTTCAAGGTCGATGATGGCATTCATTTTGTGATGACCTGGATTCCACGGATGCCGATAACCACTTAGGAGGGCCAGCTCAGACACCCATTAATGCAAAGAAGTTGTTCACGACATAAAGTGCAACGTAAACGATTTTTATTACTTATGTTATAGTTGCGTACAAATAAATTAAAACGTAATGATCATTAAATATGGCTACTCAAGAAATAATTAATAGATTAGACAATTGATCCCTTCCTCAGGTTTGGAAGTCTTCAAGGCATATAAATAAAGAGCTTATCCCAGAGACTCTTGAAGTTAGATCGGTTAGCCTTAAATAAATAATTAGTATTTTCATTCAATTAGTAATAACAACATATTAGTGACATGACTGCAAATATTATTGAATTTAATTAAATGGATTATGAAAATGTGTTACAATAATGTGATCAGTAGAAATTAAGGTTGAATAAATTTAAGATAAACAATAAAGAAAACAAAAATTATTTTGTTTTATTTATTAAATTATAGAAAAAGTATATTTGATGTGTTTCGTTAACCATTAGAGCGCGAACCGTCGATAGATCGACTCTCTATTAATGCATATAAGTGCGGAGCGTCGAAATACCGACTACTGCGCGGTTTGATTATAGGTACCTCGACCTGTACGGACGTGTCTTAGCGCGCGCATTTATAACGTTTTTAATAAGTTTTGTAAATAACCATTTAAAATTAATTTGCTGTGAATTTAGCATTGATTTTTGTATTTTTTTTAAGTTGAAGTTTTCCTAGAGACACCAACCAGATTCAATCAAAATTTTGGTTTAGAGAAGTTACCAGGGACGAAGCTTCGCCGTTGTGTGGTGTGTAGTAATAAAGGAGGAAAAGGAGTGACTCGATCTTCGCTAGTTTGTGTGCGCTGTAAAAAGGGAGTCCATGGGGTTTGTGTGGGGAAACATTTTTGTCAATAATTCTTTTTATATCCTTGTTTGTTTCCTTTTCTTTTAATTAAATAAAAATATGTTTCATGTGAGTAGTTTGATATGTTCCTTACACATAACAGAAAGAGTTACGAATATTCATCTACAGTTGAGGGAAATAATTAAGATTCTGTGTATACTTAATTAATAGGGTACTTTTTTCAAAAATCCTTTAGCGGTGTCTGGAAATTATGTGAAAAGCTCAGCACTAAAAGGGTTAATAACTGTTTCCATTTAGGTTTGGCTGAGAAGCAAATAAGTTATACAATAACGAAACGCGGTGCTCCGTCTCTTGTGTTAGATGGTTTTGGTTTCATTGCACGCAAAAGACGCGGATCTCGAGTTTACTGGTCTTGTAAAAGTCGTCGCCACGGATGCGCTGCAAAAGCACTTACTTACAATGGGAAGCTGGTCAGTCATAAACTCCACCATAACCATACTCCACACGATCCTTTCGTAACCCAACATGCACGAATTGAAAGTCTTATTGAAATTGTACCTGTTATCCCAGGCACATAAATGTCTGCTTCCTCAAAATTTGTTTGATTCTCGCATAAGGCGCATGATAATTACGTAACTGCGAGTATAAGCCTATGTCTTTTACATTTTAAATGTACTCTTGGTGTTCGTCAAAAGTTTGGTAGCTTCTTCATCATTGTTATATGTATATATTATATTGGTTGCGGACGATACACTGATAAGGTTGGTGTTTTGCAGTTGAGTTCGTGATTTCTAATCGCGGTCGACGGCACATGAGGCTTGGGGGATTTTCATTTTACGCTGAAAAAGTTTTCCCGGAAAAAAGCAAGGTGCGATGGCGGTGCACGCGGCGGACTTGCCGGGCTTATGCTCACACGCTTCACGACAAAATCTTCGCTCTAAGTAACGTACATTCACATGAACCGCCGGCGTTGGTTCAACGTATTTTAACGCATGCGGCACTCGCTACTCAAGTGAAGCCTACTTTCGATGAATAATTATTACTAACTAACCATTAACGCAAGGCTAGCCTTAGATTGTATTGCTACGTTTGAACGCTTATTAAAATCGTAACGACAGCTACTGATATCAAATGCATTGTTTTTTAAATATTAATTTTTGGACACACTAACATCAACGGAATGATATTCGAAGCGGTCGTTACGTCGAAATGTTAATGTTGTCTTTACCAATAATAATAGTAATGTTGTGTCGTTTTACTCGCATATTGCCATATTAATTGAATTGTGATTAACACATAAAAATTTGATTTAGGTTGACTAAGATATTGATTAAGTGAAAAATATATTTGCACAAAACAACGCCTAAGTAATAATTAAGTTAGTGAATCAATCTAGTCATGGTATACCAAATCCAAAAATTTTGCGTAAACTTAGAAATAGGTTTTCTTTTCTTGACAAGTAGGCGAAGCTGTTTGGTGTATAATTTTATAATAGATTACAAAAGACTTATAACAACTCTTTTTGGGAATGGTCCTACGGTTGGCAAGTCACGGTATAAACTAGTGGGAGAATTAAGTTAGAAAATAAGGTGAGAAAGCAAAATAAGAGAGTTAATAAGTAGTTAATAATAACATTTGACAAGTACCTGATATTTAACTAAAGTAGTGCTTCGAAACAGCAAAAAAAAGTATTAGTATTGAACGATCTGGTATTTATTGCTTATTTGATGTTTCAAGATTGAATGGCGTATTTTTAAGAAAATGTGAAAAGAAAAATATCTTTTTTATTTTATTTTATCATTACATATTCTCTATTTCAACAAGTGGTGATTTTTATAGGTTACTTACTGATCAGGAATTTATTTACAAAATAAAAAAGAACATATTAAGAAGTTATTCGATATTTATTTTAAATAGATGTATAAAGGAGCTTTTTTTCAAGCAAATTGTTTATTTGAATTACAAAATTTAAATGTAGTTTCTGTTAATGATACGCGGATCCTGTAACGTAGCTCTATACCTTTTTATCGATATTGTGCACATTCATATTCATCTTTACTAACTCTCGTATCATTGTATGTATTTTATGGTATTACTTTCGGTTCGGTGAATAATGTTGGGGAGCTTGCGGTTGCATGTTGTTGATGATTTATTTTATGTTATAAAGAAGTTGTATGAAATTGGGACTTTCTAATGTAATTGATTTTTGTTGTTTCCTTAGATGAATTTGTGCGGCTGTCAGTGGGCCCCGGAGGACGCCCGCGCCTCTGGGTTCGAGGGCGAAGTTTTTATGCGGCTCACACCATGAGATCCGGAGTGGTTCGCTGGCGTTGTACTATGGGAGGTTGTGGTTGTAAGGCCTACACACAGAAGGGTACCTTACACAAGTTGGTTGGCGAACACAACCACGTCAACCGTGGGGGCAGACGTGCGGCTAAACAAGCCAATCCCATGATAAATGTTCGTGCGTCATCACCTCCCACGCCGTTACTGCTGTCCAGAATACGACATTTGGACATTGATAATTTCGATCCAAACGCTTGGATGGTACGAAATTAGTCCTGTATCAATTTTTAACTGGTTTGAAATGCAGACGATGAAACGGACGGAATACGGGATTCTGTTTAATATAATTTGTCAAAAACGAATATTTATATGAATATAACACAGGTACAAAACGTTAAAAGAAATTTAGCGATTTCCATTGACTAAATTGAAAGAAAATGACAAAAATTTTCAATCAAATGATTTGTATTTATAGTTTAATTACTGGTAATTGTATAAGATTATTGCAATTTAAATGTGCCATAATATAATTTTGTTCTTAGGTAAATATATTCTAGTTGCAAATCAAAGTACAAGCTTTAGGTACTGTGTGATATGAAGCTCATATACTATACTCTCAATGTAGTTATTGTTTTATTATATGAGTGCCAAAAAGAAATTTTACTAGGTAGTTATTAGGAAGTAGATATTTTCTTAGTTTAAATATTCTTATGATCGGTATGGTCAAATCTTGTAGAAAATTGTAGTCGATAAACATAAACCACGAAATCGGTCTTCCTCTTATTTTTTTCAACATTGTTAAATTATGATCTTACTACTCTTCGTTATTGTAATAATATTTTTATTGTTTAAAAACTACTAATACATTTACATGTGCCAAATGATTTGCTCATTTTATGTTTCTCATAGAGAAGAATAAGTTTAATTGTGAACATAATTCTGTTGACTCTGACTGTGGCAAGTGGTGTGTTGAATAGTAGCGATGTAATTGTGTGAAATACAAAATGCTCATTTCGATTGTGTTTTATTAATTTCATCGCTTTATACAAATATACGGTTTAATTGAACTTCGTTTTATTGAATCCTTCTGTACTCAAGTCCATTGTCTGTTAGCAATTAAATAGTTAGATAATAATGCATGTTAGCTTTTTTGTTCCACTTAAGGCTCGTAGATAAGTTCAAACTAGCATTACGTGGAACATAATGTAAGATTTAAAAAACGTTTTTGAATCTATCATTAATTTGTGTGTATGTTTGCAGCACGTTTCATCCGTGCCGGTAAGGGGAGACTCCTGCTGCACCGAGGCTACACTTTCCGCTTGAAGAACAACCTGGCTCATGGTCGTAAACAATGGTATTGCTCGTCACGTCTTACCTCCCGTTGCCTCGCCGACGTGAACACAGAAGGACCCGAGGGCCACGAACGTATAGTTCGCTCCCGCTATGCCCACAACCACGCGCCCCCTAATGTACGTCGTTTCGCTGACGGACGGTATGTCGTTCGCACTCCACACCAGAGCGGCCACCGGGCAAATGCTCCACTTGACCCTCATCATCAGCTGCTTCAGTTGCAGCATGCACTGGCTCTTTATGCGGCTCATGCAAACGCTACCGCCACCGCCAATGCAACTGCTAATGCGACTGCTGCCGTCTCGGCCTCTACAGGGACTGCGCCTCAACCATCTCCGAGCGCTTTACCACCTCCAGCGCAGCACACGAATGCGGCTAAACCTTTACTTGTTGACACTCCATGCAACGAGGAGGATTAAATTACATGGTTCATGTATGTACATTTGATGCCGGTAATGGACCCATGAATGAGAAATGTTTTACGAATTGTACTAAGCGATATAATCATAACAATGACGATTTCAATCGTTAGTCGATTGATATTTTGCGAAAGCCTTTTGGCATGCATAATAGTTTAATTTATTTAGGGTAATTTATCATATAAGTTATGAGGGGATAGGTATCGTTTACTTAGGATTCAGCGATGGCTATTGTTGGTTATTAAGTGTGGGTAAGGAAAGTAATGTCGACGTTTCTGTAGGTGTTCTGAGTGTTGCGATGACCAGTGAAGGAAACACGAGAGACATCCACTTATAGAATACGATTGAATGTTACGTGTTCGTTGTAGGTTAGGCGTTGTCATCTAATGTAATGCGTATCGTATAGGTGTGGTCTATTTAACGAATCGAATAGGAATATTAAGGATGTTAAGTATGTAAGAACTATATGGTGTGTGATGGTGTTAAATCGTATCGATGTCAGATTAAAGCAGTTGGTTGTTATCTGGATAAGGGCCGCTTTTAGCGTTTGGTTTAATATTGGACCCGCGCAGCATCGTCTTTGAACGTGTAACGCTAGGCGGAGAGGCTGGTCAGTATAAGGAACCATCAGGTCAGTGGAAAGAAGTCAGCATTTGATTCGTGTGTTCAGGTCGGGTTCGGCGGTAATGAGCCGTCGACTACGTTGTAGGTGACTGATTGAGAAATTCGTTCGAGACAAAGCAATACGGTGTCCCCTGGACTGTACTTAGAATTACTTAATTTATTTTGTGAATTTTATACTTTACAATTTTCAGATACTTATTGCGACTTAGAAAAATAGACGTCCGCCTCTTTAATCTAAGAATTTACAGTAGTTACGAATGTCGGACGGCGTCTCCGATGAGGCGCACCAGACCGGCGCTACGACGTCGATCATGTCGCGCGGGCTGCACTCGATGTTGTGCTCTTTACGATTGGTTTTAAGTACTAAAGCTCAATCATCTACCTCTTTCACTTTTATACGGGTTTACAGATTAGTTTAATTATACAATTTTTATATACAAGAATGAATACTCAGAAGCTTTACTCGAGTAAGGTGTTTTAATTTAGGTGCATAGGTTAGGCTAGGCTAGAAAAGGCGCACCGGGGTGGTTCGCCGCGCAGGGTCCGGCGCGCCTTCTTACTACCTCTAGTTATTATCGAAACTCAACTACCTCTTTACTTAGTTTTAACTTGATTGTGAACATTCGCTGTTGACGACTTGAATTATAAATAATAAATGTAAGTCCTTTTTGAGACTTGTCTGGATATATTTTATTAATTGTTTTGCTTTGTTGCTAATCGAGACGTATTATATTCGACGGGACTCATAACGTTCTCGTCGAAATGCTTTTGTATGTACCTATTGTCTTAATTCTGATTTAAGTACAAATTTTACTAATTTTTAAATTGTTATTTAGGTGATTTAATTCTATGGGGTCTAAGTAATTATGTGTATGACGTTATTTTATCTAGATGTGGTAATAGACCGTGTCGAATTCTTTGGAGTTTACTGAAGTGACTGACAATATGAAACGACACATTCAGATGAGACCTTGATCCGGCTGCAAGGTATCAACGATGAGGCACCGGAAAGGCCTCATTTGAAATGTTATGAGCACTGAATTTTATTCATACCAAACAATAGTTTAACATATTTCCTGTCAAATGTTTGGCACGATCTTGTACCTGATGTTTAAAATGCTAAACCAAAAAAAAAAACGGACTATTAAATAAAAACATAAAAAAAGTGAAGCCGTGACGATTACGAGTTGTAATTTAATGTAACTATAAGTTTAATGTATTTAGGTTTATGTGTATTATATATAGAGCAATTTGACAATATACGTCAATTATAATATACGATCAAGGAGCTGTTGGATTGAAATAAAAGGAATCAATGCTAAGACAATGCGACAAGTTTTGTGTAAATATTAATGTGTCAGATACGAAAATATTAATGATTGGTTTAGGTAATGAATTTCGATCGGATGGTACGCCGAATTGCTCACGTTACATAATTATTGTGAATCTCTTAGGTAGTGGACGTTCGCTGTGTTTGTTCTCGGGATCACCGCGGCTTCTCTTATGTACTAACCAGTTTCTGCTAAATAAAACTATCTACCTCATTTATGATTACTCATATTATACAAGACTTATTCATAATTCTTAGTGTAATTTTATACTTATACCATTGTCGTAAGGTTTTTTTTTTAGTTCATTTACGGGGTATGTTTTGTGAAATCATATTATTAAATTGTACTTATAAATAAATAACCGCTCGTTTTATTTGTAAATTTTCATCTATGATACCCATTTTTTTAATTTTATGGTGGAAATTACGGTGAATAAATCTGTGTGCAGTTATCTGACTGATGTTTTTTCCTAACAGGTATTAAGTTTACGCAATCTCGTCGAGGGAAAGTCATAATGATGGTGAACACTTTTCCCTTCTGCGAGGAATCTAAGCTTCGAGATAAAGTCATCTGGCGTTGTACATCTAAGAAAACAAATTGTAAAGCTAGGATACACATGGTGGGACAGAACGTTGTTGCTGTGAAAGGAATGCATAACCATCCTCCGAGAGCCATGTGCATTCCGCCTAAAAGACAAAATCCAAAGGCTTCCCTCGACGTAGGAGCGCCCGTCACCGCCTCTACAAATGTAACTTCAGCTCTGACCGAGCTTGGGATGCAAACACCGAAACTAGAATAATATAATGACAAATGCTCACGTATTTTATATTTTTCGTTCACTGATTTACGAACCGAAATGTATTTAGGAAGAAAACCAGACAATAATTTAGGTTGTAAATATTGAAGTTAGTTTATAAGCGAAACGCTAAAAACGTTTTATTCCGATTGAAAACACCCTTTTTACTGTTTGTGGTGCTTTGTACTGTCTATATTGTATTTAGTTCGTATAGTACTAATTACTGTGAAATCAATTGACTTCGGAGAAAATATTACCTGGGTAAAAGACACATGAAAATTTTGTTTCTTAACTTGTTGAAAGTGGATTCATACGCACAGCATTGGATATCGATTTGTGATAAAATGATTTTGATAAATCTATCAAAATCGCCCATATTTTTTTATATTGTACTTATGATATTAAAGTTGTAAATTGAACGTTTATATTCCCTGATGGTATTCCATTCCATCACTTTTAATTGTAAGAAAAAAGTGCCTTATGTGAAACAATGGGACCAATAAATTGTCAATCAAGAGAATTTATGCACTGAACATTCCTTATTGAATTGTTAAATTAGGTATTTACGTAGTATTGTAATGTTTATTTTTATGAATATTGGTAAAAAAGTTACATTTTATAAAGAGTATTAACTCCTTAGTATTTAATTAAAATATTATGTTCTTGTAACATGTAGTTTGTTTTCTTAGCTCATAACGGAAGTCGTAAAAATTAAATCCCATATTTATACAAGTAGTTTGATGTTTTAGTATTAAAAGTGTGATTTCTCCGGAGCGAATATTGATAATTGTTGTTCGATAGGTCCCCGGTCCTCGGGGATGTCACAGTTCAGATTCGGGCGCAGCTCTCGTCGCCAGGGTCCCATCATCACGACAGGCAAGTTCTCATTCGTCAAGGACCAGGAGTTCCCGAATGGGCGCACCCGCTGGAAGTGTTCCCACGTCTCGACCAACTGCCCGGCCAACATTTACACCATTGATACCGATGTTGTTCTGTTTTATGATAAGCATAATCATGATTGAGAAAGGCGAAAAAGGCGAAAAACTAAAGCCAAGTAGGATGTGACATTTTTGTCATAGAATGAGTTTTTCGTCTTTTATAACAAAAAGATTATTTTGTGAATGAACTTTTTATAAACAAGCGGGATTTAGTAACAATCTAGCGGTTGTGCGTAACGTCATGTAAGGAAGAAAGTTTAAATATTATGTATCGACATGAAACTTGCATTATGAATCTTATATCGTATCTGAATTTATAGTTTTTAATAATGGCTGGATATACGAATGGTGTAATATATAGGGAGCGACAAAGTCGTAGATGTGACTGATTTTCCGAATCGGATTGTAACTTAGTATTTAGTTTTTCATAATCGTAATGAATTTATTATGTGTGTAATGGATATTGCTAAGAGCCTGTAGTGTCATTGACTTTGCCACTTCTCATTTACTATAGAAAGAAAGGCGATAAACAAATTTAACATGATCCTTGTAATGTAAAAAAAAGAAGTAAATATGTTCGAATTCCCTAAATTACATATCAGGATTCCAGAGATTTGTTCCACATAATAATGCATTGTCTGTGAACCCACAGGCTTAGTTACTTTAGATGATTAGATATGTACTTTCTTACATAGTTACTGTATTTAACTCTCTGTGTACCAAAGCCGTACGTAATACATATTACCTTTGATATAGATCAACAACCAATATTTATTTAACC